CTACTACTACCACTGCTACTACCACCTCCTACTCACTCCCACTGCCGGACCCGGCCAAAGCTGGCATCTAGCTTTGGCACAGAACAACAGAACAACACAAGAAGCCACACGATTACACAGTAGGGTCATGCATAGTCACACCAGTCACTGGTCGCTGGCCCATGACAGCAAAGGACAGGCGGCAAGCCGGCCCCAGGGCTCTAGTCTTGAACTACTGAAGGCTGTTGCTGCTAGGTTGCCGGTTTCCGGAGAAGAGACGAACTGGAGAAGAAAGTCGAGAAACCAATAGGCGAACACCTCACGTAGCCGTCAAAGGCTGAGGACGTAGAGTTTGTCGTGAAATCTCCAGAATCCAATGAAGCCCTGCTGCGGCATAGGTCATTTGCATTAGGAAGTCATCGAAGTAGACAGGCAAATCATCGAATGCCTGGATTGGAATAAAGACCTTGGTTCGAGATTCTTACCTGTCCTGGCCTCCCAAAAAGCACGGCTCCCTCCGAGGGCCGAGGGCCGCACGACATCCCAGACGATGGCGATCAGCCCGAGGATGGACATTGTGAGCCGGATATTGCTCTGCGGCAGGAGGATAAGCTTGGAGCAACCTGCAGCTGGTGCGAAGAAGGGCGGCTCAGTCGCAAAATAAATCTTGACTCTCAGAGTCATCTCACGTCATCTCAGCGCCGCGGAGACCCAGCCTCGCTTCAGCATGTGCGACATATCCTCTGCGCCTCCTTTGAGCGGCGGCTGACCTGGATCAGACACTGTTTTGCGCATGTGGCAGCCGCCCTGCTGTTGGCTTGGGCACTCGAGTAGCGGGGTTGGTCGGCTCCAGAAAACATTCAATTGAATATTGTTTAATTTAAAGTGGCTTCAAAGGGGATGCAAAATGCGCATACCGGTGATCTCATGAAGGTAAACCCCATTTATGCCACAATGCTGTGCGGCAGTATCTTGCTTCGTGGCCGTTTACCCCAGTTGTAGATACTTCGGTCCTAGTTATCATTGCTCGAAGCCATATCGCCATAGATCGGGCGTTGTGAGTCTTGTCTTTAAACCCTGAGCCGCCTGAGCCCGACCACGAGCCCGAGCGGCTCAAACAGATAGAGCTTTGTCTCGGCAGTTTGCATGTCCCGGATAAGTATCTGACTATCTGCCAAGGAACCCTCGATCGCTGGGTCGCTCTGGTGCACAGTCGCTCCTCGGCGACCTCCCGACCAAACACGGAGACTCCAAGCAAGCTGCTGCCCCGTAGGCGAGTAAATAGTAGACGAGGGCTTCCACGGGCCTAGCTGCTTTCCTGGAGCCGTGGAGATCCAGTCACTGTGCCTCATGTCAAGGCTGCAGATCAAAGAAATCGATCGACGTCTTCCGATCGTGGGTGGTTGTGGCAGCTCAGCTGCAGGGTCAGGACCTTCTCCGAAGGCGTGAAATAACTGTTGCAATTCTGCATCCTTCTGACGAAGCTCGCCTCGGTGATCTCTCTCGAGCATCGACGGTTGCAGGCGGGCAAGCGAAAAATGTGGGATGAGCTGATTCTCTCAGGTCTCTGCCCACTTCTCTTCTGCAGGGCGCACACTGGTGAGCATGCGCTGCCACTCCTATAGGAGATCGTGAGCACCGTGACAGTTTCAGTGAACTGCTGCGCAGCAGGCATGTATACAACCCGTGAAGAACCAGCCACTTGGCCAGCCGACTCTTGAATGTGGGAACAGCCTGCAGTCATGCAAGTGCAGGTCCTCTAGATCGACCGACTGATCCTCCACTGGGGCACGCGCTTCCTGAGATGCGCAAGGTTTCATCAATGTGCCGGATGCTTTGCGGCGTGATGCTCCCTGTGCCTTCTAACACGTTCACGCACTATAAGGAGCAGTTGAGCGTCAAGGGCGTCCAAAGAAATGCCCTGATTGACCTCTCGTCCCAGGGCTCGAAGCGAAGCGCAACGCAAGCACCACACTGATGCACGGGCTATATGGCCTAATCGTCTACCTCTGGTGGGCGGACAAAACGTGACATCCTGCGGAATAGTTGACGAGACCCTGTACTGACTGTACTGTTCATACTGCATCATAGGCACACATTCTTTTGGCTTGCTCACCTATCCGACCGTGGGTATCTTTTGTAACCATTTGCTTGTCTGCTCCCATGAAGTGTCTGTATATTTAATTTATATAGACATGTACCTGCAGCCTTGTCCCAGCAGGCCTTCTGGAAGGACCATGTTCGTGTCCGCTCACGATCAAATCGCTCAACCGATGATTCGGCGTGTGCCTGCTACAGTAGCACAAGATGTGGAAGAACTTCAGCACATGGACTGCAAAGCAACCCAAGCTCAAGCATGAAATCCATCTCCTACCCTTGGAGCCCAATAAGTGTGGTGGATCGGTCCGAGTTTAACACGGAAGATCCAGAGCTTACTCGTTCCTTAAGCTATCCGCTGCCACATCGGTCGTAGTCGCCTATCGACTCGTCATTTCTGAGATGCATCAAGGTTCCGGGAAAGGGTCTTGGATGCTTTTGGGAAAGCAATTTGATAAAAAGCGGCCCCAACTACAAATTGCTAGGCTGACTGCTTTTAAGCCTTTCCATTGATAGGTTCGGAAGGCTGCTGTTTTCCCTTCTCAAGGCATTAGCACATCTGGGCCGCAAGTTGGAGTGAAAAGCGGGTCACAGGCTGCGACGTCTTGACCAGACTGCGAAATACACCCTGCTCGACAAAGGCCAAGGAGCCGTTGCAACTCACGAGACGTTGCATGCAGGCTTTCTGCCTCGCTACTCCGGTAGCTCCTGGACCTGGAGGCCTGCGTTTAGAAACCCGGGAACAGCCAGACTGGCCTGGAGCAGATGCGCCCGAAGTTCTTCCAGCTGGTTATGCAGCACTTCTTCGAAGCTTGCCATTGCGCGGGCTCTCCCGTTCAACAGCGCGCAAACAGTCGCTGCTCGCGGACCAGGAACGATGTTGCATACATGGGTGCTGCTGCCTATCAACTGCTCAACGTGAAAAACGCCCCGTGCGTTGCGATGAAAAACCCATCGACCGTCCTTGAGGCTGAGTCTGCAGGCGAGGCAAGAGCTTCTGGAAAGGCGCCCCCAAATGCTGCGCGCTCACGTGCTCCCACTGCCTTGTTCTGCCCCCACTTCTATGGCAAGCCAGCCTCGTGCATCATTTCCAAGCGGGACAGGAACTTAGTCCATGTCCAAGTTGAGAGCAACTCGGGAGTACCTCCAGCCGCTCACGCTGAGGCTCTCCCGTCGACAGGGCCCTCCCTCGCTAGCTTTTGTAGAGGTATGTGAACCCATGGGCCGGCCGTGTCGGATTTTCGCTCTCGGGAAGACATCTCCTGTTCTGTCAGCATCGTCTCGCAAAAGCTTCAGCTTCGACGGCTTGTTGGCGACTCGGAGGGTGCCAGAAACTCGCCCGCAAACAGCAGCAAAGCAATGCCATGCAAAAAACTCTGTGCGCAGCTTCCGTGCTTAATGTGCCACTCACACCACTTTTGCTGTAAACAACAACGTTTTGAGTCAACGCTGCTTTCTCGCGGTCATTTGCACCTAGTGGTCCACATGTTTATGACACTTGGCCCTTACACACAATTTCACGCCATGCTTTGCAGAGTTTCGCCACGAAACTGAACGAAACAAAACTGCGCCAGAATGCTCCATAGAACGCGGCAAGCTCACGTACGAGAAGCGGGTCGAAAAAGGGGCACCATCATAGGACGCCGGTGAAGCGCTGCTGGGAAGAACACGCTCCACAGCGTCCTCTTGGCAGAGGCAGGAAAAGTTCCGTAAGCAGCATGCAACCGATGGTCTGCCAGGCCCGCTGCATCCTTGACCGGATATGAGCAGACTACCGCCTATCCAGTTGTAACCGGCAAGCGGCAACCAGAACGAAATGAACAGCTTCACTGGCGAGTACGTACACCCACAATGACCAGAAGGGGCAGCATGCTCTACAATCTCAGTAGGCGCACACTCACACACACGCACAAACACACAAACACGGGATCACACGGGGTTCATTCTGATGGCAAAGCAGAAGTTCCAGTGAACGACGGAGTGCAAACGCAGAGGACAATGCCCGGATGTTGCCGACCCAGAACGGCTGTGTGGTCGTGGCTCTTTCTGACATTCACGTCGAGGCCTACACTATCCGCTAGATTCGGCTAGATGTGCAGACACTAGGTATAGCTTCAGCTGTGATCCGAGTTTCTAAAGCTTCCTCATCTCAGCACCGGAGTGGCGATCACAAGATTCGCTCCTTGATTCGCGTGCCCTTTGTTGCGGCCATCAGCTTCCAGGCAGCCCGTCGAAAGCGGTGCAGTGGCGCAATTCGCTGCACGAGACGGACCTTTCAGTTGAGGCGGAGCACGGAACCGCCAAGTTTATACTCTCCCGAGATAGCGCAAGTCTCGCAAGCTAAGCCTCCGACGCTCAACTCTGGCAAATTACCGTGCGTAGCGAAGCCGTATGAAAGGACGGGGGCCTGCTCCGCAACCGATTCTTTACCCTCACTGCTCAGAACCAGTGCTGGCACCTGTGAAACCAGCTCGAAGTGCAGGCCTGCATCACCCAAGCACTTACGAGAGTTTGGAAAGGAGAGGCTGAACAAATGGCAAACACGACGCGCCTTCACGCCTGGTGCACTTTGCATGGAGATGCTCAAGATCCTAATTAAACCATGAAGCTGTCCTGACTTTGGGCGGATGCACGCCGTCAGATCGTTCGCTTCGTCCACTTTCAGTCGCGCTCGCTTTGCTCGCTGGAGGAAGGCCTTGCAGGCAGGGGACTTCCGCGCGGAAGCTCCACGGGCAAACGTCTCAGGAAAGTTTGACTCAACCCTGGTCACACCACGACCCATGCAGCTAAAGCGCTCGGAGCATGAAGGTGCCCTGCGTGTCGCGATTCTGACCTTTGACTGATAGTGACCCGAGAGCAGGCTCTCACCAGCATTGCTGCAAGAGTGAATGCTGTCTTGTCAGGCACTCGTAGCTGAATGCTTTGTAGGATAGCCGAAAAACGCAAATGACATGAAGACAAGAGTCTTTGCAGCTGGTTGCAGTAGACCCGAGCAAGCTCTCGTTCTAGGGGGTCGTCGGTGCGAGCCTGTGGAAGCAAGCCAGGCCTGGAGACTTTGAAAACCTGCTAAGGCTATGCCTGTCTTGAGAGCATCTGATTGCAAAGCAGTCTAACTCAAGTTCTGAGAACTGCATGAGTTTGCTGGACACTCCATGCATCTGCAGTTGTTGCTGGAGACTGTGTGCTCATCAACAGAGTAGACTCAGAACCGCCATGCCGACAAAGATGCACCTCTCCGAGTATACTGTTGACGACCTTCTGGGTGAGGCCACCTTCCCACTCTTCCTTCATGGGCGCAGCTTCTCAGTACGTCCGTATGGAGTCTCTCCGAAGCCGGCGGCCTTGTCTATGTCGTACAGCGAGCGCAGTTTCGCAGTGAGCTCCTGCAGCCAAGACTTGCAGGGTTGGGCCTTTGCCAAGGCCACTCGCGTCGCATGGAAACTCTTTGCACTGGCCTCCGGCGATACCTTCTGCAAGAAGACATAGAAGATTGTAGAACGCCCAAAAAGGACACAGTCCTTGGCAAAGCGAAAGGGGAGGTATCATCCCGATGGCGTGCACGTTCGTGGCTCGCGCCCTGAAGATGCGTAGCTGAGGCAAGCACTAAGTGTTGCAACTCGAGAGGTTCCAAGGACAGCTTTTCACCGTTGACCTGCAAGCTGAGCTAGTAGGCGACTATCAGCGACGGCAGCAGCTGGCAACAGCTGCAGCATCAAGTGCCTCGATGCTTGCCGGGCGTGTGCCTTGCGCACTGGCTCTGCAGTGCCACCCAGCGCCACGAGGCACAGCGAGTGGACAAGCAGAGCTCTTGGGAGCGGAACCCGCTGGTTGCATGCAAGTTGCTAGCTCTTGGGAGCGGCTCAGGCCGAAGCCACAGGCGACCTCGCAGGCTGAGACGAGAGGTCTCGCGGTTCTGCGCATCCCACGCTGAGCTCTCGGAATGCAACACTTGCAGCGCTGAGCCTTCCTCGTTGCGGATGTATCCGGTAATGTCGCAGACCTGAAGAAATGGTGTAAGCTTGTGTGGAGCGTGAGACGACGTGTTGTGCTCACGCAAAGATGCTCAGGTTCCTTCGTGGCCCGGGATGCGTCTTTAACGGCAGAGCTCATGGGAAGGCGGCTCGCAGCGCCTATCCTTTATTTATGTTCCATCTTTTGTCACGTCCTGATACCCCGTCCAGGACTACATGGCTACTGCATGGTGCCCTCCACACAAACCAGGCAAGAGGCCCCCAGACTTGGAGGAAGCCGAAAGCTGCAGCTGGCGCCTGAGCTTCAGGGGGCCTGGGCCTAGGCCCTCGGCACTTTCAGTTCAGCCTAAGGTCTAAGACTAAGAAACCCTAAGCTCCCTGCTATATAAACCCTAGAATCCCTAACGAAAGCGTTTGCACTTCGACGGCCTGAGCCCAGCGAGTGCTCCTCGCCGTCTGCAGCCACCTGCCAAACTGGGAGGAAAAGCCAAGCGGCAAAGGACGGCAAGAAAATTGGAGTTCCGGGCCTCTCGTTCAATCTAATGGCCAACTGAACTCCAGAACTGTGTGTAAGATGTTATGTACATGTTATGATGTAGGAAGAACGGCACCAGGCAAGAGCAACTCAAGTTCAACGCATCCGAGCTCCTGGCAGGCATCACAAGTCTGAACGCCAGGTGCGGGTCCTGTAGCAAAGCACCACCAAATGGGTAGTTCTCTAAATTAGGGTCCCTTTTGGGGGACCCCAGAAAAGGGACCCTAACTTAGAGAACTACCCAAATGGTCAACGACATCTACAGAGTGCGGTCCTTTTCTACAGTTTTGGACGAAAGGCATGCTAGCAGCCAGCCAGAGTCCTCCGAGTAGTTTGCCAGGTATGGCGGTGGGCAATCGCCCAACCTGGCACCCCAAACAGCTCCGGCCAAAATAGCTACAGAGTGGCCACCTCTCCCTTTGTGCATGCGGATGTTTGTAGAAAGCAGAAGCATCCTTTCTAAGGCTGAGATGGCCATGCAGCTGCTATCAGCTGCCGGGCCGTTTTCTCAAAAGCTCAGTCCATGGCGAATGGGCCATGAGACTTTCCATGGTCTTTGTCCGCTTCCTGCTGAGCTCTGCGCTCTCCTGCCAGGGATCGCCGGCCGAAAATCATCCAAATGTTGTGCTCGATTCATGTTGGACTACATCTCATACCAATGGCTCAGTATTTGCTGGAGACAGGCCTGCTGGAAGACCATCCAGTCTCGCCTCGGCCACTAAGCCACTAAGCTAAGCTGCACATCTCCCTGCAGACTGTTCCGATGCTGCTACAATGCCACTGGGCCACGTTTGACGCGCGACGATGGCCGTCGTGGCTTCGAGCTGGACGTTGATTTCTCGGATGTCCTCTCGCAGCGGGCAGGCTCGGAGTCCCAATCGATGGCAAAGGCATCCCAGGCCTCGTCATCATGCTTCTCCTGAGCCTGGGGCGGCACGACTGTGCTGTTCAGACATCAGCAACTAGGATATAAGTCTGCAATTGCCCTCCACAGCTTCTTTCAGCCCTCAAGCGCCTGTTCCAGCTGGAGCTTCCTCGGGGTGGGAATTGGATTATTGGGCCACAGACTGGGAGCAATGCTTGGACACCTACAGGCCGACACCATGCATGTTTGACGGGCTTACATTTACTTCGGGAGAGAGTTACAGCCCATTCGCTTCTGGCTTTTCTGAAGGGCGCAACATGCCACGATTGCAAACATCTGCCATGTGCTTAAGGTGCCATGACTGCTATTCTGAATTGAGGCCTGATCAGCTGCTTTGGGTTGAACTTGAGTTTGGTCCGAGCTTCAACTGCTGCACTTCAAGCTGCAGCTGCTTCACGAGACTGTCCTTTCCAGAGCGAGCGGGTCTATCAGTCCCGACATTTACCGTCTGATCCGGAGACAGAATCTGATAATCTGCTTGAGAACACTGAGTCGGCAAGCAACAGTGCTTCATTCTCGCGATCTCGGGATATCTCGGGTAGCATGGAGAGAGCTTCCTTTTTGTCTGCAACACAACGCAAGTCAATGGATCATTCAAGATTCCGCCGTCCTCAGCCACAGCGCGGAAGCAGGACGCTAGAATCTAGAATGCTTGCTCCGAAAGCTATCCTACTACCGACTGCAAGGAAAGCTTTGAACTACTGTTGCACAGGTTGTACGCACAAACCTGCAAAATAAAGTCGAGATGCCCCCGATCCGTCCGTCCCAGGTCAACCTTGCTCTTCAACGGGTTCCTTAAGTCGCGCACTGTCTCTCATGACACGGTCTCGAATCTTCTGGTCGGAGTTTCCTGGCACTGAAACCCACCAGGATGCCAAGATGCCAGTACTCGTGCAAGGCTCCACGCATCGCACTTAGCGATTCCATCTGCAAGAAGGGACAGCTTTCGATGTTGCAACACTTGGATGCCTACAACCACACACCGACACTGTCAATTGACCCGGCTTACCATACCGGCCGTAGTGTCTCTTGTGGACTAGCACGCATCGTTCGGATCCAAGGCATTGGCGTGCTGCAACCGAAGTGATTTAGGAAGCTTAGCCGTTAACGGCAGCCTTATAGCTATGCAACAATATGGAGGCTCCGGAGTAGATGAGGCCCCGTCATGCCCTATCAACAGCTACTGTACTTCTGCAATGGCAATGAAGGACGGTGCTACCTCGCCGGGCGTCAGCTCGAAGTCCATCAGATTCCTTCTCGTGGGGGTCGTGTGACAGGATCCAATTGCATTTCTGTTCACGTGCAGCATGCGTGACTTCAGCCGAGTGACATGTTCTCCTCGAGACGCTCCCGGCGAACACTCCTCAGCTTTCTCATCCGAGAAGCGGCATCTCGCAACATGCTGTGCCACAAAATCTGCGATGCGTTACCCAGATGACCCACCATCAGCTGCAACAGAGTAGCTTTGGTATCACTTGGAAGTCCATCTGCAGACCCCATCGCAGCAGGATTTGCGCCGGCGTCTTACCTTGCCGCGATTTCGATTGAAGATCAAGTATGGAAACCAGAAGCATGGCATGTGAATAACGAAACTGATAACACAGTTGGCAGAAAACCCTGTGTCGTGACTGCAGTGGCAAACGTGCAAAGGTTGCAATCGTCCACGCAGAAAGTACGGAGTTTCACGGTTCCTGCATGTTGTCTTGGCCTCTGCCTACCTGAAAGACCAAAGTGCTGGGGTGTGCAGCAAGAACCTGTGCCACCTCTTTCCTGCATGAAGACTCACAGCCACGCTCGCTCTTCAGGAGTCTGCAAATGGATTGCTAGTTTTGTTGCCCTAGCCCTGGCGCAGTCCTTCCCAGCTGTTCTTGCTGACCAGAAAACATCGAGCCATAAGCTGTGATTTTGATGCCGTGAGCGGCGCAAAACCTGAGTGCTGTAAGCACATGGGCCAAAGATCACCACCCAGTCTAAGACGAGCATTGGGCACCCGGCTCGAGCACGGGCTTTCGCTCTTGGTAAACCATCGGGTGCATTTCCTGAAGCTTGCTTCTCAGGTCGGACAGTACACTGAAGACATGCGCAATGGAGAGTTGCATGCAGCCTCTTGCAGCCCCGGAACGATCTGATTAACAACGGGCAGCTGCCGGCCCGACGATCGCAGCGCTTCCAAATGCGGCACTCCGAAATTCCTCGGAAGCCGGATTTGCAGACGATTCGCTGTGTTTGGATGGGGTGTCGATTCCTATCAAAACATGGCCGTGGTCCGGCTGCGTTTGAATTTAGCTCTGGCACGCACGTTTGACCCACGCGAGTTGGCCTGGGATCCTGTGCGGATATAGCTGTTAGCCCGACAGCCACTGCTTGCAGAGCGACTGAACTTCGTTCAACTCCACGCAAAGAACTCACGCGGCGTTTGCCCGCTATCACCACTGACTCTTTTGTTTCACTGCTGAGCTGAAGGTGAATTTGTGGAACATGAGAAAATATGAGAAAATCAAAGGGCCCGATCATTCCGTGATGACCACCACTTCGCATTGCGATTGGATGAAAAATGAAGCGATGAACTCAAAGCTGTTCTATAACAAAGGTGCGATTCCCATCTTGCTCAAACTGCGAAAAGATGAAAAACAGGAAGACGAGCCTAGAGCTAGCATGCACGGTTACATGATTCGCGTTCACATGACCCATTGAAACTATCGGTATGCGGCTTACCTGATCAGGCTCGTTTGGCAGATTGCCTGGCCGATCTGATTTGCAAAGCTGTTTCTCAATGCCAATTCGCCCAGACTGATCCGATGCCGGTGCGACCAAGAGACGAAACGCCAATTGACCTCACCACGCCGCGGCGCTGAAGTTCGATCATCGCATCCCAGGTCTCGACCAACTTACCGGTGTTCGGGGAGTGGATCCTGAAGTCTCTGCAGCTTTCGCCACTGTGCCCGGAACATGACGTCATGACACATAGATTCACCCCCTTGCTCTCCGAGCTGCAAGTACAAGTCGATGTATGACAGTCCTTGGCATCTTCTACCCCACGATTACGAACAGGTACCGAGTCTGCTGGGCACAGGACGACACACCTCGGGCTGCCGCTGAGTCTCCAAGCTGATGTAGGCTATTCTGGCATGCTTTCAGAGTGGCCTCGTATCCTCCAGCAACATGTAAGTTAACATTGTGTGGCATGGTGCAGAATTCCGGATCGCTTGCAAGGGTATTGTTGGTCCCAGATGCAACCCTGTGCTGCCAACGACCACCGCAATGACCACAGCAGCAGTCGACAGCTGCAGAAACAGTCGCAACAACGGCGGCAACAATGGCGGCAGCAGAAGTTGCGGCAGCAACTGCAACTGCACAACCTCCAACAACCTCACCAACATCAACACCAGCACTGCTACAACAGCAACAACGACGACGACGACCACCACCACCACCAACAACAACAACAACAACCACAACCACGACGACCACGACGACGACGACGACGGCGGCGGCGGCAGCAGCAGCAGCAAAATCGTAAGCAGCACCATCCCAGATCAACCAACCCAAATTTCACAACGTCAAGAATATGGAATCGAAACACATGCTCATGACAACAGCTACAAGTAGTAAACACCTCGGATGTGAAGGAGACCTAACGAGACGTCAACTCAGCCGCCCGCACTCTCACCCCGTCCCGACACCCATGCACCCACCCATCTTCCACAAGCACGCAATGAGATACAGAAAGAGGGGGGAGAGCGGGGGAGAGAGGGGGAGAGAGAGAGGGAGAGAGAGAGAGAGCGAGAGAGAGACAGAGACAGAGAGACAGACAGAGAGAGAGAGAGAGAGAGAGAGAGAGAGAGTGAGAGAGACGCAGGTGATGCAGGCCACCAAAAACGATTGCCGAGGACCCGTCCATGATCACCTCGGATTGTGTGAAGTTTCGGACTTGTTAAGTTTGCACCAGCGATCAGGTCTTTCTGCATGGAGCTGTGGTTTCGGGTCTGTGGCGGCAGAAAAATTTACGTAAACACGTCACATGTGCGATGTCTTGCTTCGCTCATGCACAGCGTCGCCGGCCTTGGCGTTCTGAAAACTCGAAGGTCTACAAAAGCCTTTAGGGCCCCGGCTGTCCCAAAGCTTGGTAGTGATCCAAACATCTTCTCGGGAGAGTCCCGAATCCCTGATGGCCTTCCAAGTCTAAAACCAACTGTCATGGACAATTCTCTTCTGTTGTGTTCCGTGCTGTGTTGCAATAATTTGACAGCTCGAAGGTGGAAGTTACACCCGAAAGCATAGCACATCCGGAATATCTATTTGCACAGGCGTAGCACAGTTTCTGCGATGAGACCCGGTTCTTTCCGCTTGAGAATTCGGGAGTCCTGAGCAGTCGGGCCTATGCACAAGCTCCTCAACTCCCTTCGTCACTTTCTAGCGCAGAGTGAAGCCTTCAGAAGCTGGTCGGGCGGCGGTGGAGATGGACTCTATTCCGCCTGCACCAACTCGAGGTCGTGCAGCTTCTGCTCCAAATTGGCCATGGCTTCGCTGCCGACTCAAACTCTTCACACGAGATGCAGGTACTTTTTCTGCAGGAATCTCCTCAGCAGCTCCGCTGATGACTCTGTGGTGCGGCAGGGAGCGCCAGTGGCTTTTGCACCTCCTCCGCGGCGAAGAGCGGAACGCGCGCCGAGCGCCTTGCCTTGTCCATCCGAAGCGCCACAGGGTCATTTTCGACGGGCCGAGCAGCAGCGGCAGCGGCAGTACATGGCAGGCTCGGAGAAGTGTGGCGCCCTCGCGCCGGTCGCGCGATGGCCGCAATTGGCAGCTCATGTTGAGGGTCCTGGCGACGGCTCCCACAGCAGCCAGCCAAGGTGGACGCCTGACCTGAGAAGCAGTTGCCGTGCTGATGCGGTTCTGTACTGTACCTGCTCCCTCTCCTGTTCCAGAAATAGAGCTACCTGCGTGCCGTGCGATTGCAATGGGGCCAGGTGATCGGGCACTGAAGAAACTGGCTCAGCTCGTCTGACCCATGCAGGTCGATGTTAAAGTGTAACAAGTTCGCCTTTCTGCTGGGAAGCAAAGTCAGAACACGCTTCTGATGCGCTTTTACCCATTCCACCAGCTCCTCGTCTTTCGCCCCTTTTTGGGGTGGCAAACCAGGCAGATCTGCACAGACAAATCGCTTGCGCAAATCGTTGTGTTGGTTCACGGACCTGACCCAGTCATCCAAGTTCCGCACATTCAAGATGAAGTACGCATTTGGGTAAGCTTCCAGCAGCCGTTCTAAGTGCTCCATTTGCGGAAAGTATGCCTGAACAGTGGTTTTGGCTTTATCCTTCCAAAACATGCCGTTCATCTCGGCCAGTGCTTCCACCTGCGGAAGGTATGCCAAAGGCTCCTTGCCCTCGCTCACAGCTTGTTCGATGAGTCTTCCCACCAGTCGGCTTTCGGAACCGTCGCCCCAAAGACGCAGCTGCTTGTCTTTGCTCAGGTTTTTGCCTTGATCCAAGGCCCAGTGCACAGAGCTCAAGCCGGCCCGCAGAAAAGCTTCATGCAATGAAGTAGTACCAGCCTTCGGCATTCCAAGCACGAAGATCAACTTCTGGGAAGTGGACGAAACAGAGCTTATGATGGAGCTTGGGCTTAGCTTTGGGACCTGAGCGTCGTCGGCCTCGTTCTCTTCGCGCCAGGACCAGGTGCGCTCGCTCCATCGCTGGTCCCATTCCCAGCCCCAGCTCTTTGAATCCCACCAGGTGCGCTCCCAACTCTCCGAAGTCCACTCTCTGCCATCCTCTTGCTCTCGCTCTGCCATGGCTGGCCGCGGGCCTCCTGTGCGATTGCACGAGAGCCGAAACGGCTAGCGACCTGAAACGAGTTGCGAGCTTGCGCGGTTGCTTGTCGTGCAGGCCCTAAGGCCCTAACGCTTCGGGCCACCTCGCCCACACTCTTCTCGTTGCGATACAAGGCCGCAGTATCCACCAAACGATATCCTCGGGACAAGGAGGTGGTTCGGAGCCGCTAGGAACTTACGAAACGTCCTACCTCCGGTCAGAGTCATGAATCCAATCTGAGCCTCCCATTTCCAATGCCCATTTCACGGCATTGTACGTTTCAGGGCCAGGCTTGGACCTCGCCAAAAAAAAGAGGCCCCGCGAAACAAAACCCATACTCCACCGTGGACTTGGTCAGGCTCCATGGCACCCTTCTACAGGCAATGTAGTCTCGAAGGATGGAACCCATCTAATCTAAAAATTTCGATCACTATAGGCCTCGTGTTCTCAAACCACCGTGAGACATCTTCGGGCCTGTAAACACCGAGGCCTATCCTCGGCATCAGCCTTCCATCCAGCAGCTTCAGAGGCTCTGCAAGCGGCCCGAGATGGGCCATGGCGAAAAGCAAAGCTGCTTTGGTGCCAACGTACATGAACCCCGCAAACACGTCGTCATGATATCCTTCAAGCATGCTCTTTCGGACTGGCAGATGTAAGGCTGTTGCATCAGAACCTCTGGGCTGTATTCCTATGATGTAGCTGAACCATGGGCTCAGCATCAGCTTGCCTCCTGGAGGCTTGTGAAGTGCGTGACGCTACCGATCTAGAGTTCCAGATCAGTGCATGGGCTGCTGCTTCGGCTTTGTAATGGTCTTCGTCGGCCATCTCACGAATCTTGCCATGGCCCAGCAGGGCAGCAACATTCCATCAGACAGAAATGATGTCAGTAATGCAGTTGGGAGAACATCGAGCAGAAGCAAATGAGAGCTGTCTTCAGTCCTTGTCCACTGCTCGCGCTGCTTTGGCCTGCACCTTGATGGTCTTCACTGTCGATGCAAACCTCACCAGAAGCTTAGTAGTGTGATCGGTCAGCAAGCTTACTTCCAAGCTCGCTTTAGCTCGAAGACTGGACCACAAGCGCGCCTGAGCGTGTTGTGACTCTCCTCGAAGTGTGCTGCCTCGAGAAGAACAAGGCAGAAGCTCTAGCGTCGTGCTTCTCGGCTCTTTCCATTTTCGGGTCAAGTCACGGCCGGACTCAACGTTCCAATCATCGATGTCCTCGAATTCCCCGACAGCGCGTTCGAGAGCAGCCTGGGCTTTGAGCAAAGGAACTCGCCTCGAAGCGGAGTCGAACTTTCTGAGGAGTGCACAGTGTCAGCTTGGAGTTGCGAAACCTTGGCTTCACAGGAGAACTGAGCCTTCGGGGATGCGCAAAGCAGACGTGTGTCCACACCTGCAATTCATCATGGGGTCGCGAAGAGCAAAGCTCTGCGAAGTCAGCTGAGTGCTGCTAAGGGGGCCTCGACATGTCCACGCCCTTCGACTTCCTTGGCTGAGCTGTTCTGCGGATCCTTTGTGATCTCAACCCAGGACTAGGAGTATCCCGAGTCGACTTAAAGCCTTCATGGCCCTCCCTTCCGGCGGTGTCTCCTGTGCCCGCCGAGGCGCGGAGTGCCAGAACCATGGTCAGTCTGAAGGCGCCGGCGGTGGGCTGCACAGTGGCACATGGTCACTGTGCTGACGACCCTCATGTGGAGCTTCTGGGGGGCTCACGTTGATGCCCCAAGCTCTGGATGCAGCCGGACAGGTACAGCAGGCCTTTGCACATCCGGTGAGCAAGGAGCCGGAGTGCCAAGTTCTGGAGCAAAGGGCCCAGCTCTTGTTAATGAAGCTCAGCTCCACGAACCTCTCGCCGGTGACCTACACACTGCACACAGGAGCCTCTGCCCTGATGCACCCTGTCTAACCGAAGCCCGGGCAAACTGTTCCACATGTGCTGAGCCCCTCGTGCGACTTGATTTGTTGCGTGCCGGGTGTCAACTACACCCACGGCAACAAGTACGACGCCCACCTGAGTCGTCTTCTCATTTTCCCGGCCAGCGAGGTCTGCAAAGCAAACCTGCCGAATCCGAGGAAGCTGAACGGCAGTGCGTTTGACCACTTTCCACAAGACCCTTGACGGCTATCTCGGAACGCAAGTGCGACAGTTCGAGTGGCCAAGCCTTACATCATCAGGATTTCTAGTGATCCAGCCTGAGATTCTATGATCGTCAAACCTTTGCGTACAGTGATGAACCCATCATGAGAACATGAAATGATTAAATTAAATACAAAGCACGGAATCGAACAAGCCGTCTGGCCCATTGCGGCAGTCCAACAACTAATTTGCCCTGCCCCTAGAAATCCCTAGAGATCCTCGTGCCTCAGAAGTGGTGGACAGATTGTCGCTGCCACCCTCCACAGGCAGTGCAACGGCATGTGCTGTAGAGTCCAATCAAACGCGTTGCCTCTCTGACCATGTTCAGCTTGAAGACGGTGTGGCCACGTGAACTCTGTGCATTCATGGCGGTGGCCTGCACTGCCTGCCAGGTGAGGCAATGTAAGATGATCGACGATGCTTCCCAAGAGCAGCAGCTCTGCCAGTTCAGTTCCGATACTTGTGAAAGGGCCTTCATCGCATTCCCGTATTCAATCCTCAACATGCGACCAGCTCACAAAGTCTCGATGCGCGAGTGCATGATAAGCAGATGAGAGTTGCCTAGCTGCTTGGGCAACAGGAACTGCCAAAAGGAAAGCCATCTACCCAAGTTTGAACATTGGATTGGCTGACACAGCCGGGTTTCGAAGCTTGCTTGTGCGTTACTAGAAGCTGCATCGATCGAATATGCCAATGGTGAGTACGCTTCGGCTGTCCGATGCTGGCTTGCGAGGCTGCCCGGATGTCTGAGAAATCAAAAGCCGGTCGGTAGCCTGTAACATATACTCTGACTGTTTGCAAACCACGACCAAAGCAAAATGCAGCAGGGCTTCGTTTTGATGCACTCGGCTGCCGTTTTGACCTCAAGTGCTACTGCAACGGGTCTGATCCGTGCACCCTGAATACGTCCATTGGAGCGTCGCTACGAAGCCAGAGATAACTACCACTCTCGCGCTAACGACCTCTCTCTCGGACTTGCCCTTGCTAACAGAAGCGACGACAGAAACTTGCCAGAGGTCATTTGAGGCTTGCACAGGTGCCTCGATTGCCCCAGTCAGGTACACCCCAAGCTCCTGAGCATGCACCCAACACCAACCACGAGCAACTTGCAAAAGCTCGGTACACAAGTTCCCACATGCAAGCCATTATCCATCAAAGGAATGATAACGCTCAAGCACTTGTACAATTACACGTTGATCCGCCGATCACATCATGACAGCGAACATACCGCCATGGACCTTAAAATCCAAGAGTGGTCTGCGCAATCCTAGCAATTTCATCACAGCTTTTGTGATCGGACCCCCCGAGCCGTCCGGATGCACGTGGATGTTAATCTTCTTCGCAGCGCTGCGGCCAGGCCCAGCGGGCTGAAAGTCTGAGGTGGCGAGTAAGTCTTTCAGCCTCAGGACATGATACAGAGCACTAACAGCTAACTGAAACTAACGCCAGAGCTTTCATGAGTCTCGCTGCCTCGTCAATAATCTACTTCGCAACTTGAGTGCGCACTGCTGTGCTAGAGTAGAATACCTGCTGCCGCATCACGACGACGACGACAACAACTACTACTTACTACTACCACGACGACGACGACGACGACTACTACTGCTACGACGACTATGACTACGACAACGACGCTGAAAGTACTGGCGGCAGTTGTTTTGCACGGCCACGACCAGGGCGCTGCGCCACTTCGTATGTCCAGCCCCTTCGTGCCAGTCTGATGGGACTAGGGCTTCGGCTTCTCGTTGTAGACTTCTAGCATCTGCATGACAACGTGCACCTGCGACCCGGAGTTCGATTGCTCCTTGTCCACCTGGAAGAGCTGCAATTGCAGCGGCTTGCGCAGGACAAGACTGTGCCGTGCAAATTACTGCTTGCAACCCTTGCAACCCTTGTGCCCCTGCCTCCTCGAACACATCGTCGACAAGTCCTGAGGCACTGTGTCTGCTCCTCTAACTTCCAACTGCGGCCCCCGGCATGAAAACAGCTGAGTCTCAACCACTCTGACTCAAGTCTGCGCCAACTTTTTGTGCGAAGCTTGCCGGGCTTCTTCCGACCAAGCGATGTAAGCCCTCCATCATATCCACTGCGCCCAAAGCTAGATGTCTCGGAACCCCGTGCTGCCGAGAGGCGCATGAGAAGGCCGCGCTCTGACTTCGGCTGCGCCTCAGGAGCACCGGGCATGCGGTGCAACACAGCTCACGGGAGACTTTGGCATGCTGTCAGAACACAGGAGCTTGAAAAAAGACTCTGCTCACGGCTGCTGTCGGCGTCGGGCTGAACCCAAAACTTCTGGCTTGGGCTTAGTGGCCTTGCCCATGATCGTGGTGGTCTTTCCAGTTCCCGTCTGGCCGTAGCAAAAGAGGCAGGTGTTGAAACCCTGCCAGCGGCAATGCACTCACCACTTCCCCACGTCAGGGATGTACTCATCAGATCAGGTGGTCAAGTATACGGAAGCGTGTTCGCATGGTCGGGCAGTGTCCTGCAGCATGTGATCCACCATTCGCCGGCCCATGATCTCATAGCACTTCTCCTGCATGCAAGCAGCTTGCTGAGCAAATTGCATCAGGGAGCATGTCATCCCATTTCTGCAACCTCCACCGTGGCCTCCTCAAAAGCCCTTTGGCAGAGCTCCGGAACAGTCTACCGACAATGGCAATGCATGAGGCTACCAAAAAGCTTCTTTTCCTGCGAGACGAAGGAGGGGCTGCTCTCGTCCGTGCTGTCCATGGCGACCTCTGCGAAGTCATGCATTCGCCACACCTAGAAAGTAATCCTCAGGCGGATACACTACAGTTTGTTCTCTGTCGCCGGCATCGAAGGCGAAGGTCGACTTCCGGTCAAAGTCATTTGGGACTGCTGCCTGCGGTTTGGGCCATGACCCAGGCACACGGCTTTGGCATCGACTCACACTCGTCTCACTTTCTCTGGCCTTCCGATCTGTGTCAATGACATCCTCAACGATGGAGACCTGGTTGCCCTGAGACGTCCGATGCTCGCAACTTCACCGGCCCTCTGCTCGATGCAGGAACTGGCAGGAACATGATACCACATGCCACCCCTGGCTCAGGGCTGGGTATCGGAGATATTCCGTGGCAAACGCCTATAGCTGAGCCAGGTCCCTGCTACGACTTCCGGCTACTCCAGGCCTCGATCGTCAGGCATTTCTCTTGACCTGCAGCAAGGATCGGATGACACGAGAGCTAAAAAGCCTCTGACCGGCCACAGATCAAGAAGACTTTGAGAATCAACGAACAAGTCTGTTGCGGCGTCTAGGTAAGCTCTGTTTTTCGTAACGCTTCGAACTCTGCCAGAGAATCTTATGCAAAGAGCGGTGGGCTGGGGCCCAGGCCGATCTCATGATTGACGAGGGGCCGAAGCCGCATTCCAACCTTAGGGCTTCAGTTCCCTGCCCCATTGATGTAGAAGGGAACAAACGATCCGCGCGCCGCGCAAGCTCCGCGAAATCTGCGAGAAGTTAATGTCCCCTTGCTGAATCGCCCGCCATCGAGGATTCCAACTCGCTAGGCCCCACTATAGGCCTCCGGCCCATATCGGCTCGGTCATTTGGCCAGCATACCTGCACGTCTGGCCAAGGCGAAACTTTCCCCGTGCCGGGTGTGGATGGCTGCAAACGCACCTTGAAGCTCCAACATGGCCGGGTCATGGCGGGGGCAAGGTAGCATGTTGTTCTCCGTGTAAAAAAACTGGCTGAGTGGGCTGGGCTTGGTGTTGTGAAAGTTGGGCGGCGCTCCCTTAGAGGTTTATTCGAATCTTCTTGCCGGTCGACAGGAGCACCGATGTAGACTCTAGACTCACTCTAGACGAAACGCTGATATGCTGGCCGGCTTCAAAACACTCTAAAACAGCTGCCGCAAAGGAGCCGCGGCGGAACTTTGAGGAAGCAGTTCGAGACCTCTCAGACCATACAGCAGGCTTCCGTCGTCAGGCAAGTTGCAGCGCAAGGCCTAGGCCTAGGCCCCAGGGCCTTGTTCTTGAAGCCTCATATACCCCCAATAGGTCAGCTGAAGCCTTCGAGTCCTGAAGCATCACTCCCTCAAACAGTCCCCGTCGCAAAGGCTCTGCGGCCCCCAACGGAGGCCCAGCGCAACGCAGAGCTCAGCGCACTCTGCGCTGGCCCGAGGCCCTTACCTGCAGGCTTCGAGAAAAAGAAGCGAAAAGCACGGTTTATCAACTGCGCCGGTGAGAATTCAGAAATGAAAGCTTGTGCTATCTTGTGCTTGCTTTCGCTACCGTCTCCCTCTCGCAGAAAAGCATTAGGCCGGCACCCTTTGATTGTCCTTAGTATCCACATCACCAAGCAGGCAGTCCATGAGTTTAGAGCACATGGTTGACACCACAGAGCAGGAAGCTTGGAGACAGTGATGCCGTGAAGCAATCCCGATAAGCTTCTGGCGCAGCAGTACTGGGAGTCTCTGCAAGGCTTGCAAGATCTCGCTGTGGCTACGCTCCTGCCACAAGTATGTCACATGTGCTTATCATGGCGGATTTTGTCAGAGTTCAACTTAGATTCAGATGTCTGCATGTGCTTTGTTCGTCCTGTCGCCCACACAACACACCACGGAACTGCGCAGGCCCTGTAGGCATACGCCCGCATACGTATTATGGTGTTTGCCGTGGTGTATAATGTGCATGCAAGTGTACCTGCACGTCTCCCTGCATGCATTCATCCCTCCACCCAGTATGCATCTTTTTTTAGCACTCGATGTTGAAGCTCAGGCGAAGTTTCGGGAGAACTCTGCATCTTTCAACATGTCGGTCTTCGTCTCTTGATGTCTGTCCATTTCCATCGGCGACATGTCTGTGCTTACGCATGTGTCCCAATCACGTTTCATCTATCGGTATCCATGCCAGCCGCTAGCATCCCCTGAAAACCCCAAATCAATCCGGTTAGGTCCCCACATGTTACAGTTGTAAGTTATAGGTGCTTGTCGTGGGCTTAGCTTGTGATGGGTATGAGGCCGAGCTAGAAGGCGCCCTTTTCTTCAGCTGGCTCTGTGCACATGCCAGGATATTTGTTGCACATAGGCCTGGGCTTTCGCCGCCGCCGCCAGGTCCTCAGAAATGTCCTCATCGCCCAAGCTTCGACCTTGGTTCGGGTTTGAGGCGAACGCATGGCTGGAAGACAACAAAGGGTCAAACCAAACAACTATGGGCTTTCTCTCAAAATGTTGTGCTGTGGGCAGACTTGCCAGAACCGACGCCAAGCCGTTGCGACCCCACTGTACAAGGGTCAGCTTCTGCAGTCGAGGGCGCAGCTTACGCAGCCAAGGCTGCACATGGAGCGTCAGGCTGTGCCAAACAAAATCTCAAGGCGCAAATTTGCAAAGCTCCGTGAAGGCCACAAGAGCTTAAACACTAAAATGAGCCGATCATGCTCTTCCGGCAATCATGTCAGGCGACAGGAAAAACATCGTGCTGGAGAACGTCCACTGCAGGAGGCTGGAACGCAACCTTCGTTGTGATGTCCATCATATCGTCGACCTTTAGTTGCTCCTTCATGAAGTCGAACTTGGTGTCTGCCAGGCGGCCAGTGTCGGCACAGGCGCGGTAGAGGCCCTCGAGATCGTCAATGGCGGCCGCGACGTCCTCTGGCGTCGGCACACCCCCTCTGACAGCATTGTAGATCACAACGGTTACAGTCACGTGCTCGGTTCCATTTCGCTCGGGCGACTTGATGGACAAGCCTTTCCAGACGTCGTGCTCCGTGCCGCGAGAGACGCGCGCGGCGCTGCTGAGACCTTTGGGTGCAGGAGCACTTCTCCGAACAGCTGAGCTTCGACACCTGGCACTGAATTGCAGGGACTGAAGCTGGGGTGCGCTTTCCATTTCCATACAATCGTCCCAATCTTCGGCGAAGGGGGTCTGCTGCTGCTGCTGCTGCTGAACACTCCAAAAGGAGGCTGGCGCCGCAGAGAGACCCGCAAGAAAACCTTCGCCTTTGCCTCGAGGTTGGCGCCGAGGTTGCTGCTGCAGAGGGACCTGGATGGTCATCAGCACGTTGAAGCGCTGTCCCATAGCCCGGACGCCGATGACGCTTGAAGTGGCCTTGCCACGAGCCAAGGCCTCGGCGCGCTCCTGGTCAGACTCCCGCTGCTCACCGCCAACCTTGTGGAAGCTCTCCTCAGCTTCAAGCCAATAGCGGTGGATCTTGCCATTGCCTTCCACCGCGTGGTGAAAGAGCTTCTTTGAGCCGCGCCCGTCCTGCTGCACAGCCATGCCTTGGCTCGTGCAGAGTAACACGAGATTCCGCGGATCGGAGTCGCTAGTGGTGTTGTAGTTGTAAGCCTCTGTCGCAAACTCAAGTTTCCCTCTGCCACCGGAGCATTCCTCCACGGGAATGAAGGTGGTCTGGAAACGAATGGAGCACTGCGCATCTAGGGCTGCGTTCGACAGATCAGTCTGTCCTTCAAGGCCAGCGTAGCTGCCGTATGCGCCCATTTGCTGCAACACGTTCCGAAGCGTCACTGGCTGCAGTGGGCCACCTGTGCGAGAGGCTACCACGGCCACCTCATCTGCAGAGACGATGCCCAGCTTTTCGTTCCAGTTGTCACTGCGCACCGTAAAGAGGCGCTGCCCAGTCTTGCTCTTGAGGTAGGTGTCGGTGATGTTCGCCCCCCAGCAAGACAAGGAGCCGCCAACGGTCCCGCGACTGACATCATCCCAGGAGACCACCTTGCAACTGTAGGTTGCATAGTGGCCGCCTTTAGAGCGGCAAGCCTGGTTGATGGCCTTCATGGTTGCTTCCACAGCAGATGCCATTATGGGCAGTGAGGTCGGAAGAGCCGTCGCGCGTCTGTTGTGTTTTACACCGAACGGCTTGAGCCGTGGCCAGTTAGGCGGTAATTCGATTGGGTTCAGGCTGTCACGGAGGTTTGTAGTTTGGGCGAGCCGAATAAGCACGCGTGTTTGTGTGCTCTGTTGGGATCCTGGCTGGGGAAATTCTGAGACATTGCAGTTGCTACAGCTCCTAGTAGCTGTACGTTGTGGCGACTTCCGTCCTTGTGACTATGGTGGCAGACGCAGAAGACGACACGGTGCAAGCCGCTGCTACGGCTTCAACTAGAAACATGCAGGGCTGCTAGCTGCGATAAGATACGGAAGCAGTTCCACCACAGATTGAAGTGTTGAAGTGTCGCGGACATCGACAGTTCACAAATTACATACTCTCGGCCTTCTACACTTTGAGTTGATGTATCCTTTAAACAGACACGCTCGGCACGCGCAACATGGACAGCAGCATTGCGAGGCTCTGAGGGCACCACCCAACACCGCAACCTTTGGCCGGGAATCGGACAGAGGCAGCATCTACAAAGCTTCAAGCATCCGAATCAATTCGCAGTTGATGCGGCTGGTGCATCTCAGCTTCTTAGGCGTGCGCATCACGGAGATCCCCATTGAAGTAGAAGTGGGGATCGCCCTTCACAAACAAAGACTGAGCGAAGAGCCTTCTTGCCAAGGAAAACCTCAAGTGATTGTAGGGCCGAGAAAGGTCGAAATTCCTCTGTCCTCACCTTTCCAGATACCAAAATCCATGCATCTCCAAGTATAAGTAATGTTCTTCTTATCATTATTATTATTAGTAGTAGTAGTAGTATTACTGTTTGGAACCAAAGAACACAAACAGGCTTCGTCGCGGCCCACCTCGGATCTGCCTGCTCCAAGACCTGCGATCCAGCCCGGCAGCACGACCGACTCGCCAAATACTGGCTGACAACAGGTTCAAGCATGAAAGCGGGCATCGGCAAGACGGCTGGGATCCAAACGAAGTGGCTGCTTCGTGTTCGGAACGAAGTCCACCCAGCCTGGAACAACGAGGGCTCGAACACATCCCCACAATTGTGCAGTCGCTCTGCTGTCATTTCACTCTGACTCCTTTGTGTAGGTGAGACATGAGTGCTCAGACTGTACGACTATGAAGAACGTGAAACTTATGTTCACGTCACGTGCCGGCTGAGCCCGCGACTGTGGGAGGCGACGAGGTGACGGTCAACATAGAATCGAGCCTGCGCACGACCCATCCCCTCTTGAACCACACACTCCTCATCAGCAGGAGTATTGTCCGGCGGTGATACTGACAAACACGGGATCGACGAATCGGTTAAACGACAGGAGGTCCAGCAGTGAAAAGGCAAAGAAGAACGACGACGACGACACCACCACCACCGCCGCCACCACCACCACCACCACCGCCACCACGACAACAACGACAACGACGACAACAACAACAACAAAGCAGCAGCAGCAGCAGCAGCAGCAGCAGCAACAGCAGCAGCAGCAACAACAACCGCAACAGCAACAACAGCAGCAACAACAACAACAACAACCACAACCACAACCACAACAACAACAACAACCAAAGCAA